TCTGACCGCCCAGGGGAGCTTCCTTCCTCCTCTCCAAGCTCCCGGGACCCAGGGGAGGCTCCTTCCTCCTCTCCCAGCTCCCGGGACCCCAGGCTTCCCTTGGCTCGTGGCCCCATCTCTCCCGTCTCTGCCTCCCTCTCACATGGCTCCTCCTCTGTGTCTGTGTCTCCCCATCTGTCTCGTACGGGGACCCTGGGCATTGCGTTTAGGGCCCCCTAAGCCACGACAGTTTCATCCTAAAATCCTTGCCTTAGCTGCATCTGCAAAGACCCCGTTCCTAACTAGGGTCTCTTTCCTGGGGTCTGGGTTAGGACGTGCCCACCCGGTTTCAGGGACAAGGAGCCATTGTGACAGTGACCTGGGCTGGATGTCGCTGGCCCCAGACCGTGGCCCTGAGATAGCGACCCCCGTGTGCGTCCTGACTCCCAGCATGCCGCTGGGACTGGGGGCCTGTTGTCAGTGCCCAGGGCGGCTGCAGACGGCCCAGTGTGTGTTTGAGGTGTCAGGTGACACCACTCGGGGCCTGTCCCGGGCCTCCCGGCTGTGCCTCGTGTGCGTCTCCCCAGCCGACTGCAGCCAGCGAGGCTGCCTCGGGGTGGCCCGAGCCCTCTGGCCGGCCAGCAGGCGCACTGAGGGCCCAGCTGCCTCGGGGCAGACTGCGTCAGCGTCTCACCTCTCGTGACCCAGTGACCCAGCCACACGGTGTCAGGTGGAGCAGACTGACTTGTCCCGCGGCCATGGCCTTCCCGTCCCTTTGGCAGGGTCACAGGTGTGGCGTCACTTCCCAGAATCGCCCAGTGCTGTGGCCAGACGGGTCCCACCTGGACGGCCGTGGCCTTCTGGCCAGAGCCTGGTGGCCATGGTGCCCTGGGCCCTGCACCTGCGGACACTCCAGCCGGAGCTTCCTCCCATACGCGGCCATCCTCCGGCTGTTCTCACAGTACTGAGCACGTGCAGGCCCCTCGGGGGAAGCAGACGCCGCCTCCCTGGGCGGGGAGCTGAGGGCACCTGTCCTGGGCACTGCAGGGCACGGACATGCACAGAGAGAGGGGAAAGTGAGACACCACCCCCCTCCTGGGGGACAGCTACGCCACAGTCTCTTCTCCTCCGTTCTCCTCTCAGATCTGGGGCACACCTGCACACATGCCTGGCCTGGGTTGCTTTTCTTTCCTTTTTAAAAAATTATTTAATTTAATTTTATTTATTCATTCATTTTTTAATTTGACCAGAGAGAGCCACAGAGAGAGAGGGAGGGAAATGAGAAAGCAAGCCACCAGGTCTGGGACTCGAACCATGGTCGGCCGTGTGGGAGTGTCCAGTGCATTAACCACCATTCCACTTGTTAGTCACCCACTCCTATTTTTTTTTTTTTACTGGGCGTGTTTTTCAAGGTGCCAGGTGTGGGACTCGAACCATGGTCAGCCATGTGCAATCCAGTGCCTTAACTGCCACAGCACCGGCTGTGCCAACACCCCAACCTGTGGCTAGGCGGTATTCCTGGCCTCAGCTCTAGGGGGCGCTGTGTGTGTTTGCTCAGGCCCCCCATCACAGAGTCCCACGGCCCAGGGCTTGGACAACAGTCCTGGGGACTGAAGCTCGAGGTCCAGGGGAGGCAGGGCTGGCCCCTCCTGAGCCCTCTCTCCTCGGCGTGGAGACACCGTGTCCTCCCGTGTCCTCACGTGGCTGTCCCCTGTGTGTGTCTATGTCCCATCTCCTCTTCTCATGAGGAGCCCAGTCCCACTGGATCAGGGCCACCCTGGGGACCTCACGTCACGTCAGTCAGCTCCACACAGACCCTGTTCTCCAAACACTGTGACCCTGAGGTCCTAGGGGACTTTGCACATGTCAATTTTGCTGGTTGGGCACAATTTTTTTCTTTAACAGCCATTTTTGCTTCAGGACATGTATGGTCACCCGGAGAGACAGAGAGACAGAAAGCGAGAAATCGCCCCCCAGGGGGGATGGCCATGCCGCAATCCCTTCTCCTCCATTCTCCTCTCGGGATCTTGGGCATGCACGCACACGCGCCCAGTGCGAGTTTAAGCCACCGGGTCCGGGACTCGAACCGTGGTCGAGTACATGGGAGTCCAGCGACATAGCCATGACGCCACCTGCTGGCCAGCTGGGCACCCTTGAAGCTGTCACAGCCATGTCTTGCTGTTGTCCAGGAGACGGCCGGGTGCTTGGTATGCACTGGCTCCTCTGTTCTGCACAGCTCGCTCTAGCCGGGGACGAAGCCCCCCGTCCTCTAGAAGGTCCAGGTGGCCAGGGAATCCCGCTGCCCGTCGGTCCTCCGTCTCCGGGTCCTTGTGAGGAGAACGTGCCCGAGAAGTCACATGCAGGCTCTCGCTGCTTTTGTTCTCCGGACAGGCCCTGCTGGCCGCCTGCCGGCTGAAGGTGTTCGACCTGCTGAGGGACAGGGCCCCCCAGGCGGCGGCGGGGTTTTTGAGAGGTTTTTGCTATTGGGCGCGTGCGCTCACCAGAAGCAGAGCCAGAAAGACAGAGAGCGAGAAATCACCCCCCGGGGGGGACGGCCACGCCGCAATCCCTTCTCCTCCATTCTCCTCTCGGGATCTTGGGCACGCACGCACATGCGCCCAGTGAGTTTAAGCCACCGGGTCCGGGATGTGAACTGTAGTCAGCTACATGGGAGTCCAGCGACATAGCCATGATGCCATCCGCTGGTCCCATAATTTAGCATCTCAGTGGTGCGAGCTCGTTGCCTCCGGGGGTCGGTGTGCGTGGGTGTCCGTGGCTGGAAACCACACGGGTCCCTCCGTCTTCGTCCTTAGGTTACCGCAACACGGACTCGGCCGCCCTGTACCTGGTGTCAGACGCCGAGTGCTCCCTCCGTGACTTCGTTCTTCACAGCGGCCATCGCACCGGCCCCGT